GACCGCACGATCCTCGTTCCTGCCGCCATGGAAGCTTCGAGCGCCTTCGTGCCACGCCGCCTCCCGTCGCCATGGCGCACCACCACCATCCCTCTCGCCCCGGGCCTGGCCGCCGCTAGCACGGCCGCAGCGTCCCGCCTCCGCGCGTCGACCACCAAGAAGTCCACGCCCTCCAGCTCCTCCATGGCCCGGTCCGCGTCCGCCAGCACGCGGGCGTAGCGGCCTCCCGTGCGCTGGGCGGCGGCGGCGAGGGCGAGGCTCGTGGTGGCCGAGTCGGGGGCCGAGGCCTCGGGCGCGTCGACGACGAGCTGCGCGTTCCATCCCCCGACCATGGCGGAGACGAGCTCGGCAACGCCAGCCGACCCCGCGGGGCCGTGCTCGGAGTCTGACAGGGCGCTGACGCCGGCGATGAAGGCCTGGGACGCGGTCTCCGGGCACCACACCAGCTTCATCTCGGCCTCTCTTTCTCTCGCTCTTGGAAGAAAAGAATATTTTGGGTTTGGAGAAAGCGAACTAGCTAGGGAAGAAAGGGTTGGTGCACGGCAGGCGGTGCACTGCAGATATATATGTACTCCGATAAGCGTTGACAACGGCAGATCGGTCGGGGGGCAGGGCTGGGTGCGGTGGCTTGAAAAGCACATCACACGTTTTGGGCCAGGGTTTTGAAATTCGGCCGTAAAAAATGGATTTCGGCCGAATTTCGGCCATCTGGGCCTAGGGCGAAATCTATTTTCCGCCGAAATTGGTCAAATTTGAGAAATTTTGGTCAAATTTTAATCAAATTTCAGTTAAAATTTGGTCAAATTTCGGCCGAAATTTTTAAAAACGACCGAAATTCGGCCATCTCGGCCTAGGGCGAGAAAAATCACAAACCGAAAATCAAAACGCTGTTTTGGGCTGGGTGTGGTGGAAACGTGGACAGACCGACTATTTCCGCCGCTTTGTCTCCATCGCATCCCACCCGGATTCGGGTCACCAATTTCCATATGTCTCTCTCCGGCCATATCAATTACTTCCTCTTGTTCATAAATATAAGTCTTTTTAAAGTTTTTAATAAAAACTATATACGGATATATATAGACATATTTTAGAGTATAGATTCACTTATTTTGCTTCGTATCGCATTAGAATCTTTAAAAAAAACTTATATTTAAAAACAGAGAAAGTAGTAATATAATTGATGGATGTTAGGGTACCCTTTGGTCCTACTAGTAGCTAGGAAAAATATTTTTAGAGCTAAATATTTTGGTAACTCTTCTATTTGGAAACCTAGCTCTCTTAGTCAGCTTTTTGGACCACTGTCATAAAAGTTCTGCCATTCATGCTGGAGGCTAGTCAGCTTCAAATTGCTAAAGGCAACTCTTACATATGGACTAATACTTGGTGTAAAGATTGGGAGAATATTTATGATCATCTTAAGCCTAATTTAGAGGGACCCTGCCCTAGTATCATTAGTGATCTTTGGAAGTCCAATTCCAAACTTTGTGATGAAGACAAAATGATTGCTTATTTGATGATTCTGTTAAGAATGAGAGTTTGAATATTCAGTTATCAATGCTAATCTTGAAGATACCATTTGTTGGACTCACACTCCTAATGCAGATTGTACAACAAAAAATGCATACAAAACTTTTGTGCGGGAAATCAGACATAGCTCTTTTCGAAGACGAGCACTTACTTCGGATCAAGAATTTTCTGTCCCAAATTGGGTTTGGAAAAGCAAAACCATGAACCCTAGGTTCAAATTTTCTGCTTGGGGGTTCATTAGGAGAGTTGTTGCACCGGTATTGAGAGCTTCTAGGCATTCTAAAAGAATGATGTAGATGTGGTCACATAGAATTGGATTTGCACCTTTTCTTTCAATGCAGTTTATCTAGATAAATTTGGTTTAAATTTGGCCTCAAAACTGATATGTTGGACTCCAATTTATATCTTGTTGATATCATTGAAATGATTGTGTCCTCTCAACAAGGGCTAAAACTCGTTTCACAATTCTTTGGAACATATGGAAAGTCAGAAATGATCTCCTTTTCAACAGAAGAAAATGGAGTCCTATGCAGGTTCTCCAGGCTTAAAATGCAATGCTTAATGCATGTTTAATGGAGAAGGAGGAAAAAAAACATCTCCCGAAGATACCAACTCTAACCTGCTCCCAAGTACAAATGTGCATGTACAACCTGCAGCATACAACCCAACAATGATGACTGATGAAACTTCCCTTGGAATTTCTCTAAGGAATGAGCTTAGTGAAAATTTAGCATTGGGTCTACTTCTTGCAGCAACAATTGTCAAGCTGAAGCAGCAATGCTGTCAGTATACAAGCGCTTATCAGGAGGAAGGATCAAAAGGCTGGAGCTAGTCTGGCAACGTAAGGAACAAACCAATGAGAAATACTTCCCCCGTTCCTAAATATTTGTCTTTTTAGAGATTTCAAATGAACTACCACATACGTATATACATAGACATATTTTAGAGTGTAGATTCATTCATTTTGCTTCGTATGTAGTCACTTGTTGAAATCTTTAAAAAGACAAATATTTAAGAACGGAGGGAGTAGATATTTGCACACACTTGGGATAGCCAGAGTCGCCCATGACGCCGTAGCTGCGTGGGACGCAGAAGCTGCGTCCTTCCGCGATCATGATCGTCATTTCCTCAAGGTTTTTCACTGGAGGCCACCTACGCTCGCTCTCCACGCAGCGGTGCACCTCGTACTCTCGTCGGCAGTAGTTATCGACGTGTGCCTGGGTACCTGTAGCTGTTTTCCCGCGTTTCCGTGCTAGTCACCATGAGAATGCCATCGCGAGACATGGACTCGGTGAGCACGGCCCATGCCTTCCCCGGCAGCGGGCTCGTGAGCCGCCTAGGTCGTCCTCAGGCCGCCGTGGCCGTCCGGCACCCAGGCATTCAGCTCGGCGTGGCAGCTGATCGTGTAGAAGGCCCCCCTTGTGGAAGATGACGTCCATGTACTTGTGCGGCATGCCCGGCGGAGGGCGCAGCGTCGCCCACGACGTGGCGCCGCGAGCAAGGTAGGACAGGCCGCGGCCGTTGCTGTGGAGCAGCATCACGGCGCAGGTGCCCAGCCGGCGCCCGGGAGCCAGCGCCGCCTTGCGGAACATGTGCCTCCAGAAGCGGGTGGTCCCGCCCGTGGGCTCCCGCCGCTGTTTGCCTGGGCGAGGGTGTCGGTGAAGGGAGGTAGCGGGAGGCTCCGGCCAGTGAAGGGGTCAAGCAGGGACATGGCCCACGTGTCGTCGTCGATGATGACGGCCCAGCCGTGGGAGCAGCAGCCGATGATCCGCGACCGTGCCACCTCGTCGTCCACGACGGTCTCGACGGGGCATCGTTGGGTGTAGTGTCTGTCGGCTCTGTCGATGTGGTAGGGATAGGGGCTGAGCTTCACGACGGGGCGTAGCTCTAGTTTCTCAAGCATGTACTCCTTTCGTTCTGATTTACTTGTCGTGGTTTTAGTTCAAACATGTGATGCAGGCGGCCGTGCCGTCGTCCCAGCAGGCGGAGGCGGGTGGTCCTGAGCGCGCGCCGCCAGGGCCTGCAGACGGCGGAGCAGAGGACGTTGTCGAGGGGCCCGACGCACAGTGGCGGATTCAGAAATTCAACTTTGAGTGTTTTAAAAAAAATTCACCCTAATACAGAAGTCCATTAGCCCATGGCAATACAAATTGTTCACAATAACAACAATGTCTCAAAAGACGAAGAAAATTACAAAGAGCTATATATCTCTAAATCTAAAGATAAATCATTTGTTTATTTTTTACTAATGAAATCAATCCAAAGATACTTCATTTGTTGTTTTTAAATCAACAGTGTATTTGGTGAATTTGGAATGAGTTTCTTTTTTCAAGGGGCATTTGGACTGAGCTGAGCTTTTTTTTAGGGGTGGTTTGAGTTGAGCTGCCGAGCATCTCTCGTGCAGTCGTGCGCGAGGGCAGAGGTAACGTTGCTTTTTGTTTTTTGAGCGGAGAGGTAACGTTGCTGCTCTTGGGCTGCTGGTTAGTGGGCTGTGCCACTGCTGCCGATGGGCTACTATTGGCCTGTTTGCCAGCAGGAGAGCTGCTGCGTAATCTCTCAAAGTAGTACTCTTATATTTCGGTCATTTTTTTTTGAAACAAAGTATTTCGGCCATATAACTATATGTAGGAATTTTTTTGCAGTAAATTTTGGGTGTACATCTGTACACCCATGACCAATAGTGGATCCGCCCCTGCCGACGCCCCGGGCGATCTCGTCCAGCGCCTCCGTCGGCAGGTCAGCAAAACCCACAACGGCTGGCGGCGCCATGTACATACAGTACGTGCTTAGGATGAGTGGTCGAGTATTTAATCAAAAATTACCACATTTTACGGAAACGTGACAGAAAACTACCACTTTACGATTTTTTTGCGGGAAAGAATAGAACATTAATTTATGCCTAATAGCACACTCCACTATATAGAATTACCACACCTAACTTACATATCCATGTTAAGCTCTTCTTCTAAAGCATAATGTGTATGGGGTAAAAGGCGAGGATATTGCATCAAAATATACTCGTGATCCCCTTAATAAAACTGAGGCCCCCGAGGTTGGCGGCAATTATAGTGGAAATCAAATAACAGAGATACTTAAGACAGTACTGAAGAAATTAATCAAGAATTTTTAGAAACATTGCCAATTCAATGAAGGCACGGCTCAAATAAGACCAGCAAAGTTCATTTCTGTGAGCAACAAACACCTCAATGTAGGGTTCCACACGTGAGACACTGAAATAGTACATGGCGCACAACCTCTGAAGATGCAGATGTGATACTTGCCACATGTTTGATAATTCATTGAACATGGAGCAGTTCACAGTCGCACACAAAAAATTCAGATCATCATGCCTACACTCAGTAAGCCCCCGCTGAGCTTTCATAACCATTCAAAATGTTTCAAACACATTAAGAGTAGTGACTTTCTCTACGATTGACTTGACAGTTCACAAGTATCCATCAGCGTTTTGTGGATCAAGGAGCTGTGGAAGCGTTAGCCTCTCCTGTCTTAGATCTGATATAGCCTAAACTTCTCAGCTTCTCCACAAGTTTCCTCTCTGCAGCAGCCTGAAAACAGTGCTCCCATCAGATACAGAAACTTGGCAATTCTAACACAAAGATGTTCCAGTTAGTACCTCAAGCATGGGGCTGTCTTTCGGAATGTTACATGCTAAAATTATATTTAGGCCTGTCTTCAGCACTGAAACATGAGGTGGCATGAGCTTGCCGTTTTTCATACCAATATGATGAAAGGTGGGTCAATTGCAGCAGAAATTGAAGTACCTAAGCGGCGGGCCATGCTTGATCCAGTGTTATCAGATGTTCCTCCAAGTACAGATGTGACACTCACTCCATCACCCTGCAATGACCATGATGGTACAGTGATCAGTCTCAAAAAAAATAAATATACACCGGTTCTTAAGGTTATATCGATTGCATGTTACCAGCCTAGTGGTTGCAGCAGCATATAAATGGCCAAACTTTGCCGAGTTGTTGCATCCTATCCATGCATAGATCTGCATTGAAAAAAAAAGAGGGGCTTAAAAAAGATAACACATGAATGTTTGACAAAGAGCAGAATGGAGAACATACCACATTGTGGATAAATATGTATATGATTCAAAGAAAAATAATCATCCGAAATATGGCTACCCATATTCCCAGTTTGTGTAGAAATGAATCAAGCTTAACTCACACGGGGATGATAACAAACGCATACACTTGCATACTTCATGTAATCATGTTACAACAAATGCTCAAGGCAAGTTTAGCTTCATGTTAAAAATTTACATATACTAACTGAAACTGAACATGGACAACTGCTAGAACATCTTCCTTTGGCAGCTTTACAAATGATATGATTTTTCTCCATGACATCAACTAACTGAATTGCACATCTAGTAGAACATCCCTTCCACTGCTTATGACATGTTTTGTTTTTCTTCGCCACCTCGATAGACTGTCTGAAAACTGCATCCCA